AAGACTCCCAGGTGACAACCCAGCGTCCTGGGACAGGGCAGGACCCGATGTCACACCTTCAGTGCACGTTGGGCCAGCTCCTGTTGCACAGCTGCTCTTGAGCTCGCCACCCTGGGTGAGCCCAGAGAGTTAGAGGACCTCTCTTCCAGACTGAGAGTGACATCTGCCAAGTCCTAACTGGTGGCCACATGCCAAAACTATTTTAAGATGGCGAGCACTAACAGGAGGCCTCTGCCCTTCAGGTGGGTTTACAGACGCCCTCGTGAGCCGACCTCCATTTACAGGAAGGAAGGTGAGGCCCGGGAGAGAGAGACAACCTGCTGGTGAGTCCCAGGCACAGACTCCTTGATTGGCCACCGCCGCCCTCAGCCCTGCACCAAGGAGGCCGGTCGAGCCTTCCCACCCAATGTGCTAGGACCCTGTGCCACCGCTGTCCTGTTGACACCACCAGGATCTGATCGCAAGGAAACACCAGATAAACCCTAGTGAAGGGGAATATCCTAAAAAGAACCATCTGCCATCTTCAAAAATCTTCAAAAGAAAAAAAAAATGTCACTTTTGTGCGGAGCTCGGTGGCCCAAGCCTATTACCCCAGCTAACTGGGAGGCTGAGGCAGGAGGATCACAAGTTTAAGGCCAGCCTCAGCAACTTAGGGAGATCCTGTATCAAAATAAACTAATGTAAAAAGTTCTGAGATTGGGCTGGGGTTGTGGCTCAGCTATAGAGCGCTCGCCTAGCACATGAGAGGCCCACATGAACAAATAAAAAATAAATAAAATAAAGGCATTGTGTCCAACCACAACTAAAAAATTTAAAACAAAATTTTAAAAGTTCTGGGATGTAATCAGTGGTAGAGCAACCCTGGGTTCAATTTCCAATACAGGGAAAAAAAAAGTCAATTTTGTGAAACACAGAAAACTAAAGAAGAACAAGAATGGATACTGGACTAGTCAAAAATTTTTGTCATAAGGAAATGTTTGGGGATGATTAGCCATTTGAATATAGCCTGCACTGTTAGATACCAGGACGCATCCCCAGTAAGTGGCTGCTGCTCAACTGTAGTATGACTGTGGAAGAAGAGGCCCTTAGCCATGCGCCAACGGTGACTCCCACCTGTAATCCCAGAGACTTAGGAGACTGAGGCAGGAGGATCGAAAGTTCAAAGCCAGCCTCAGCAACTTACCAAGGCCCTAAGCAACTCAGTGAGACTCTGTCTCTAAATTAAATAATTAAAATGGGCTGTGGATGTGGTTTAGTAGTTAAGCTAAATCCCCGGTACAAAAAAAAAAAAAAAAAACTTGGAAATGCAACTGAAGTATTTAGAGGTAAGTGGACAAAATGTGGAACTTACTCTCTCAGACAGTGGCTGCAGCGAGACAGCATCCATGGTAAAGTTACTCCACAAACTGTTCACAGTTGTGAATCTGGGGGAAAGGTATACAAGAGGACTCTATCCTTGCAAATTTTCTGCAAGTTTAAAATGTTTTTGTTTTTGTTTTTGTTTTTTTAAGTGATTTCAAATCAAAACTCATGGTTTAAAAGTCTTCGGGGTTGGTTTGTTTTCTTTGGGGTGGTTGTTTTGTTTTGTTTTGCTGGGGACAAAGTCTAGGGTTTTTAAGGTTGTGTTTCTAAGCGCTGCCGTCTGTGCATGCATCTGTGGTCAAAGTCTGGGGAGTCGGGGAGGTGAATTTGCTGCTTCAGACGCTGCCTTGCGGGTGTGACCCACGGCTTTCACCTGTGATTAAGGTCTGGGGTGGGGCCAGGGTCTCAGAGGCGTGGCCAAGGCCTGGGCGTGTGGCCAGAGAAAGTGTTCCCAAGGGAGAAGGTTACCCTGTTCTCAGCGCGCCCTCTGGTGGTGAGCTCCCAGGTGTGCCCTCCACTTTTGACTTGACTGATTCATTGCGAGAGAATGCAGGCAGCGCTCAACTTACCTGAAGTGTACAATCGCCTGGTTTCAGTGTAATCCCAGAACTGAGCCATCATCACCAGAAGGCATTTTAAAACATTTAACCCCTAAAAGAAACCTTCCACTAGTAGTCACTCTATTTCTCCCCAAACCCCCCCACCCCAGGCATCCCTTAATGTATTCTTTTTATTTATTTGTTTGTTTGTTTGTTTGTTTATATTTGGGGTTGGGGGTGTACTGGGGCTCAAATGCAGAGCCTTGCACATGCTAGGCGAGCACTCTGCTACTGAGCTACACCCCCAGTCCTTCTTATTTCATTTTGAGATGGTCTAAGTTGCTCAGGTTGGCTTCAAATTTGGGAACCTCCAGCTTCAGCCTCCCAAGTAGCTGGGACTACATGACATATGCCACCATACCCAGTTTACTGTACTTTTTATCTACATATTTGCTTATTCTGGCATTTCATATAAATGGAATAATATCATGTGTAGTATTTTAGGAATGACTTCTTAGCATCATGTGTTCAAGGTTCATCAATGTTGTGGCGTGGATTAGGGTTGATTTGTTTTGTTTTGAGTTCTGGGGACTCACCCCAGGGGCGCTTTGCCACTGAGCCACATCCCCAGTCCTTTTTATTTTTTATTTTCAGACAGGCTTTCAGTAAGTTGCTTAAGCATTCACTAAATTGCTGAGGCTGGCCTTGAACTTGTGATCCTTCTGCCTCAGCCTCCCAAGCCACTGGGATTACAGGCGTGCGCCAGCACACCAGGCTTTTTTTTTTTTTTTTTTTTTTTTTTTTTTTTTTTAATTGCCAGTGGATCTTTATTTTATTTATTCTATGTGGTGCTGAGAATTGAACCCAGTGCCTCACACATGCTAGGCAAGCACCCTGCCCCTGAGCCACAGCCCCAGCCCTATTTTAATTTTTAATGATTTGTTTATTTATTGTAGTGCTAGGAAACCACTTTTTATTATCCATTCACCAGTTGATGGATATATAGGTTGTTTTCACAATTCTTTGGCTGTGGTCCATTCTCTGGGACACATAGATGTTGGAGTGCTCATATGATTACTCCAAGTTTAACATTTGGAGGAACTTTGTTTCCCGAAGCAGCTGCATTCACATTTCCACCAGCTGTGTTGGAGGCCTCCAATCTCGGCACCTCCTTCCAAAATTTGTTATTGTCTATCTTTTTCATAGTAGTCATCTTGGTGTCGAGTGGGATTTTTTTTTGGGGGGGGGGCTACTGGGGATTGAACTCAGGGACACTTGACCACTGAGCCCCATCCCCAGCCCTATTTGTATTTTATTTAGAGACAGGGTCTTACTGAGTTGCTAAGCAACTGGCCATTGTTGAGGTTGACTTTGAACACAGATCCTCCTGCCTCAGCCTCCCGAGCTGCTGGAATTACAGGGGTACGCCACCGAATTATATTTTTATATTATTATATATTTATTTTTATGACTCATGCTATGAGTCCAGTTCATTCATCTCACCTGCCTCAGGAGCCCCTGGGAGAGTGGACCACAATACATTCATCCCTTCTCCTGGGGAGGGACATTTACCTTCCTGGTCTCTCCATTTCCGACAAGATGACAATTAATATCCCTGAATGTGTCTCTTGGAGTTTTCAAACTGCTGAACCTGATCCATTAGTGGGTTGTGAGATCAATTTGGTGGGTTGAAAACACAATCTTTCTGTTAATGAAAGGACCTTAAAGAGAACGGAAGATATTAAATTATGTGCACAAGTCAGGGAAGGGCCACGTGGTGAACTTTTTGCTTCAAGCCTCCGCTCCTGTCTCCATGCCTCAGTGCCAGCAAGTGTACCAACCACAGCTCTGAAGGAGGTAGTGACCGTGAACCTGCCTGTCCATTTGTCCAGAGGTTCCATGTACACTGCCAAATTGCCCTCCAATAGAATTCCTCGCCAACCTTTGGCTTAAACCGAAAGTTTGAACTTTTGCCAGGCCAGGGTTTTTATCCTGTTTTCTGGAAGAGGAAAGGAGGCTCAGGTCGGGAGGCCGACCCTGCCATTCCCACTGCAAAGACGGGTGGGTCTCTGCTTAGGATGACATGCAACATGGAAGATTCCAGAAATTAAAGCTTCTCGGGTTCTATGCGTCTGGGGAGAAGCTGAGGAGGGGCGCCAGGACCCTCACCTTTCATCCTAAACCTTCTGCCGTCCCACCTCAAAGGGATTTTGAGAATTCAGGGGGCAAAGATTTAGAGATTCTGACACCCAGGGCCTGACGGAGGGCGAGGGTTCCACACGTTTCTGGTTATTGTTTATTATTATTCTCTACTTGGAGAGAGAATCAGGGAATCCTAACTCCCCAGGTGCGTGCAGACGATACTTGCGATCCGAACTTGGCCTGGCCTCCCGGGGGCGTGGCCCGCACGCGAGGTGGGCGGGGCAGGCCTGGCTGCGGGGGGCGGGGAACACGGCGGCCTACAGCGCCCTCTGGTGGCCCTCCCTGGCGCTGCCGGGCTCAGCTGATGCTACAGGTTCTGCAGGTCGAGAGGACAGCGGCGCCACGCCCGCCCTGTGCGTTCTTGAAATCCACTCGCGCCTCGCCCTTTGGGGACCCAGAGGTCGAATTCCTTTGGAAACCTGGGTCTCTAAATTCCAGCCCAATTTCCCGCAGGGACCCCGCCATGGAGACCCAGGCATCTGAACGCCCTGTGCCTTCGTTCTGGGGGACAGAGGGATAGATAGCACTTGTTCCTGGATCTGACCCTACTAGGAAACTCAGTTCTCCAACCTCTAACCCCACGCCGCCACCAAAGACTCAGACCTTTGGCCACGACTCAAGGTTCTAGTTTGGAGAGCTAACTCCCCACCCTTGTCGATCCTGTACCCAACAAAGGCCCCAGGGGTCCCCTAAGCCCTCCCCCAGCGCCCGTCTCTCCCTAAAGGGACCCAGGTCTCCCACCTGCGATTCCCACCGCTCCGGGGTCCCCTCCTCGGCCCCAGGCTCCCTTATGGAATTCAGATTTCCAAGCCCCACCTCCAGGGGACTCAGGTGCCCGATCCCCCAGCCCCGCCCCCTCCTCCTGACGTGCCCCGCCCCCACCTGCCAGCCGCGCCTCTCCCCGCCGCACCCATCCGTCCCGAGGCACCCAGGGACCCATGGCTGCCTCGGCGGTCCCGCGCGGGTGGCACTGGGGGGAGCCACGAGCGCTTGGCCGGGCGGTGAGGCTGCTGCAGCGCCTGGAAGAGCAATGCGGGGACCCCCGGCTGGCCCTGGGGCCCCCCTCGCTGCGGGACCTGCTGCCCCGCACCGCACAGCTCCTGCGGGAGGTGGCCAGCGCCCGGCGGGCGGCCGGTGGGGACGGCCCAGAGGGTCCCGGTGGCGCCGGGGACTTCCTCATCACCTACTTGGCCAACCTGGAATCCAAGAGCAGACAGGTGGCAGGGCTGCTGCCGCCCCGAGGCAAGAGGGGTGCCAACGACGAGCTCTTCCGGGAGGGCTCCAGACTCAGGTGAGCAGATGTCCTTGTCCCGGAACAGTCTCACGGGCGAGGCCCAGGTCATGCTCCCAGCCAGCCTCTCCCTCAGACCCCAGCCTCCCAGTCCTCAACCCAGGCTCTCCCCGCTGGCCCCTTCGTCCCACCCGGGAAACTGAGTCACTTCCTTGGACACCCAGCCCCCCCATCTCCCCCTTTCCTGGATCCCCTTAAAACCAGAATCCCAGTGCCCTGATCTCCCAGGAAGGGAGGGAAATTGGGGGCCCAATGGACTTCCATGAGGGCAAGTGGATGCACCCTGGGAGCCTGAGCTCCACCCTCTTGCTTCGCTTCCTTGCAAGGGCCAGCTGAGGACCTTGGACTGGCCTGCCCACTGCGCTCTGTTCTGAACTCTAGGGGAAGGGCTACCGAGGGGCAGGGGCAGACCGCCGGAGCCTGGAGCAAGAACAAGCTCTAAACCAGCTTTTTCTGCCTCTGCAGGCTCCAAGCCCCTTCTTCAGCTCCCTAATTCAGCTGGAAATGAAACACACAGGTTCAGCAACCTGCTTCCCTGTATTTAAAAATTAGTGTTATGCCCAACCCAAGTGTCAAAAAAAAATTAGTGTTATGCCCAAAACATATAATAGAACAGTGATCAAAGGAATGTTCTTTACGATATATATTTCTTCTGCATGAAAATGCAAAGGCACTGTTATTCTGGAAGGAAGAATCGACTAGTCAGACACAAGAACCACCATGAGGCAGAATCAAATAGTCTTCCCTTAGCCAGGTACAACGGCACACACTGTCATCCCCTTGACTGGGGAGGCTGTTGCAGGAGGATCCAAGTTTGAGGCCAGCCTCAACAACATAGTGCAACCTTGTTTAAAAAAAAATAGTGTGGGGGGGTGCGTGGCTGGGGATGTGGATATAATTCAGTGGTAGAGGGTCTCTGGGTTCAATCTCCAATACTAGGGGGGAAAAAAGTCTTCTCTTTATATTTAGCAGACTTGGGTTTCTGAAATCTCATTATCAATTTAAAATGTGCAAAATATGCTCATGCAAAACACAACTGGGTTCAAGGCTTGGATACAAAAGTTTGCAAGCCAAGTGAAATGAGGACAGATCTTGCTGGAGGGGATTATCCCCACAATCTAAGAGTCCCATCCTAATCTCTATGTCAAGCAAATTTCTAGAAACCCGTTGGAAAGGTGCTATAACTCCAGTGAGAGCCTCCAGTGAGAACTCTGTTCTCGGGTTCTCCATTCTAGGGTTCTAGTAACTAGGAAGTCTAGGGGCTTAGTGAGCATCTGGGGGGTATGCTTAGAGTCACAGGGGTCCTACGAAGTTTTTGAGGAAGGTTCTAGACCAGTACTGTCCTTTAAAACCTAATGCTAGCCATGTAGGTCCTTTTTAATTTTCCATTAGACAAATTCCAAAAAGATCTTTGGAAAAAAAAAAAAAAGCTGTGATCCAGGCATGCGGGTGGGGCACACTTGTAATCCTAGTGGCTGCAGAGGCTGAGGCAGGAGGACCTAAAGTTCAACGCCAGCCTCAGCAACTTAGTGAGGCCCTGTTTCTAAACAAATAAACAAAAACAGGTGAAATGAGTTTTAATAACATTTTTATTAGCTCACTATATAAAAAATATTATATCGGTTTGAAATCAATATAAAGCAATTATTCATGTGCTTGCTCGTGGGTTTTAAAAAAAAATTGTGCTAAGTTTCTGAAATCTGCGGTGCATTCCACATTTAAAGCACACCTCTCACTCCAGATCAGCGGTATGTGTGTGGACAGTGGTTCCCATATGGACCACACAGCTCAGATTCTGCAAAGGGAGGCTACTTAGACACCGTCAGGAGCCCTGCAGACCCCCCCCCCCAAGCTATTAATAGAGATTAAGAAAGCAATAAGATCAACACTGAGTGCCAACGCTGTGCCCACTCTGCTGTGTATTTTACGTGTTCAGGATGGAAAAATCCTCCTTCCCCGATGAGTCAGGGGCAGTGCTTACCTGTATTTACCCCCATTTTCCAGTTGAGAAACTGGGACATAGGAAAAAGAGAAAAAAATTGCCAAGAGTCGCTCAGATGAGAAGGGCAAGGGCCACCCATCCTGATCAGGAACTCAAGGAGGCTCCACCCGCCCCCATCCCACTCGCAGGTGGAGAAAGGCTCTGAGCATGCTCTGTGGACAGGCTGCCCAGGGCCGGGGTCCCCTACTAAGCTAGCCCGCGCCTCCAGCCAGGCGGGCTCTGGCCAGGCTGGGCACTGGTGGCTGGAGGCTGACTGGACATTGGGCAGCTTCTACACTTCCTTAACAGATGAGGAAACCGGGGCCCAGAGAGCAGAGGCCTCGGGACTGAGCTGCCATGGGACGGACGTTAGGAAGAGCCTGGGGCTTGGCTCTGTGGAGATCCCCAAGGTCCAGCCCATCCTCAGGGTTCATTCCTGCAGGCGACAGCTGGCCAAGCTGGCCCTCATCTTCAGCCACATGCATGCAGAGCTGAGCGCGCTGTTCCCCGGGGGGAAGTACTGCGGGCACGTGTACCAGCCCACCAAAGCCCAGGCCCACACCTTCTGGAGGGAGCGCTGCGGGGCCCGGTGAGTGGGCACTGCCTGCCCCAAGCCCCATCCTGCCCGGCCCAGGCCCCAGGAGTCGGGGGCCCCACCTACAGATCCTTCAGTCCTCAATGGAACCTCCCACCCCACCCCCCGCCCAGGTGTGTGCTGCCCTGGGCAGAGTTCCAGTCGCTCTTGTGCTCCTGCCACCCTGTGGAACCAGGCCCCATGGCCCAGGCCTTGCGCTCCACCATGGACCTCACCTGCAGTGGCCACGTGTCCGTCTTTGAGTTTGACATCTTCACCAGGCTCTTCCAGGTCAGAGAAGGCCAAGGCAGAGGCCACAACCCCTGGGTCTGAGGGAGGAGACTGGGCCTGGACCCCTGGGTCTGAGAGAGGAGGCTGGGGCTGGACCCCTGGGTCTGAGGGAGGAGGCTGGGCCTGGACCCTGGATCTGAGGGAGGAGGCCTGGGTCTGGGACCCCTGGGTCTGAGGGAGGGGGCTGGGCTGGACCCCTGCGTCCTAGGGAAGGAAAGGTCTGGGGCCTTCTATATAAAGGAGGTACTGGCCAGCCCACCATGGCATGAGCAAGGCGGCCAGGCTCTCAGCCACCGGGAAGCTCTAGCGACATGGGCTGCTTCCTTGTTCTGTGGGTGACCCCAGCCCTGCTCCCTCCCAGCCCTGGCCGACCCTGCTTAAGAACTGGCAGCTCCTGGCAGTCAACCACCCGGGCTACATGGCCTTCCTCACCTATGACGAGGTCCAGGCGCGGCTGCAGGCCTGCAGGGACAAGCCAGGCAGGTAATGGTCCCTGCCTCAGCAGGACCAGGCCAGGGCTCAGGGCCTGGTCCTGGCTGTGGGGGGGGAGGGGTTGAAGCGTGACGTCCCCAGAGAGTCAGGGCTCAGGTTCCTGGGACCCAGAGAATTAAGAACTCTGGAGGTCGCCTGGTGTGGGGGGGTGCACACTTGAATCCCAGCCGGTTCAGGAGGATGAGGCAGGAAGATGGAAGATTCTGAGCCAGACCCCCTGTCTCAAAATTTAAAAAATAACGTGTCGGGGGTGTAGCTGAGTGACAGACCCCCGCCCTGGGTTCAATTCCTAGTACCGCCCAAAACAACCAAATAAAAGAGCTCCGAGGTAGACAGCTGAGTGTCCTTGGTCCCCTGTCTTTTCTCCCAGGACCCCCTACGCCTTCCCCCAGTCCAGCAGCTAAACACACAGTGCCTCATCTGGTGGGGGAACGGGGTGCTGAAGACCCTGCCCACATTAGGTCTTTTTTTTTTTTGGTACCAGGGATTGAACCCGGGGCACTTAACAACTGAGCCACACCCCCAGCCCTCTTTCTTCTTTAATTTTGAGACAAGGTCTCACTAGATTGCTTACAGCCTCGATTGAGGCCGGCTTCCAATCTGCAATCTTCCTGCCTCAGCTGCTGGAATTACAGGCATGGGTTGGGTCCCTTTCTGATTGGTCAGAGTGACGCTGGGCCCTGGGTAAAATATTTTGACTATGACCGCACATACCTGTTGCAGCAAGACACTGGGAAAGGAGACATCTGAATCTTTTCTTTCTTTTTCTTTTTTTGGGGGCTACTGGGGTTTGAACTCAGGGGCATTCGACCACTGAACGACACCCCCAGCCCTATTTTGTATTTTATTTAGAGACAGAGTCTCACTGAGTTGCTAAGCCCAACTTAGCACCTCGCCAACGCTGAGGCTGGCTTTGAACTCACAATTCTCTTGTCTCAGCCTCCAGAGCTGCTGGGACTACAGGCATGCACTACTGCGCCCAGACATCTGAATCTTTAAATTATTTCAAGTCAGGATTTTTTAGCTGCTGGGTCTCCCCAAAGGGCTAGAAACTGGGGAGCTGAGCCCCCTGGAACATCAAGGAGTTGAGAGAATAGGAGGTCAGGTTTGCGAGCCTTGCAGGGCTCAAGTGCAGAAGCCCAAAAAAGGCAAGTATATATCTGCACTCTTCCAGTTCTTCCGATTATACTCCAAACTGGTTTAAAGGAAAAGCAACAGGAATTGATTAATTCCTATAACTGAAAAGACTAGAGTTTGGCTTTCAGGTTCAGCTGGACCCAGGTGTTCCAGTCCTAATCTGAGACTCAGCTTCTGCTCATACTCTGTCTCTGCTTTCGTCCATGTTAGCGTCCTTCTCAGATGTGGTCTCCCTGCCTGGTGTCAAATGGCTTCTAGGGGTCACTGTTATACACCCCACCAGTTTAGCAACCTTTGTGAAGCTGGGGCACCTGGTTCGATACTTCTAGCAAAGGTCCCTGACTCCGATTACTGAGGCCAGGGATCCTAGAATACCCTGATTGGCCAAGCCACAGTCAGGCTTGTCCCAACTTCAATGAAGGAGGGACAGAGTCTCTAAATAGCGTCAGGGATATTATTATCCCAAGAAGAGCCAGACAGGGATCTAGCCCCTCCGTGCATGCATGGGAAGTTGACATAAGGACTTAGACACCTGGATCCCCAACAGGGTGGGGGACTGGGACTTCCCCGAAGGGACAGCAGTGACCAGTCCCTCACCCCATCCTACCCACCTCTCCCTCCAGCTACATCTTCAGGCCCAGCTGTACTCGCCTGGGGCAGTGGGCCATCGGGTACGTGAGCTCAGATGGCAGCATCCTGCAGACCATCCCTTCCAATAGACCCCTGTTCCAGGTGCTCCTGGAAGGACAAAAAGGTGGCATGTGAGTGCGCGACCTGGAAGGATTGGGGTGGGTAGAATCCTGGAGGACGCACACTGGCCCAATCACCAACCTGCAATGCTGCGGTTCCCCAGCAGGTGGCAGTCAAGGGTCTCGAGGAAGGGGCACCTCTGCTGTCCACCCAGGCTGCAGGCGGGCCAGCAGGCGGCCGCCCTGGGTGCCACACCTTGAACTTGGACTCTAGAGCTTTGCTTCTAGATCCCATGTCCTGCCCTAGGATCTAGACTGGTAGGGCGGAAACAGAGCTGGGAAGCTGCCAGGGCGTGGCTGCCCCTTTTCCTGCAGGGAAGCTGCTCTGGGTGAGGAGGGAGGGGGCAGGTGGACTCCGGAGTTCCGCCGCTGACCAGGGTTTTCCTGGTTTGGCGCTGCTGTGGAGGGAACCAGGGCGTCAGGCAAATGGTGAGCAGGTGCCCCCACCGGCCTCCGCCCGCTGGGGCTTGCTTATCAGTCACACTGTGTGATCGGGGACAGGAGATGGGTGACATTTAGGAAGGAGGCTGCCTTCTCCTGGTTTGTTTGGGTGCTGGGGGTTGAACCCAGAAGCGCCCCACCTCTGAGCTCTATCCCCAGTCCTTTTGTTTATTTTGATTTGAAATGTTATTTCTTTTCCCCTGAACCCAGGGCCTCACACCTGGTAAGCAAGTGCTCTAACCACTGAGCCACAGCCACAGCCCATTTTTTTGTTTCTGTTTTTTTAATTTTGAAACAGGGTCTCACTAAATTGCTTCAGGCCTTGCTAAATTGCTGAGGCTGTCCTCCATCTTGCAATCCTCCTGCCTCAGCCTTCTGAGTTGCTGGGATTACAGGCGTGGACCACCGCGTCCAGCAGACATGCTGTTGACTCTCATTATTCACATTAGTTATATTCTATAAAATTGTTCAGTGTCTGAATTTTCAAATTCTGAGCCACTGCTCCTAGGGGACATACAGGGCCTGTAGGTCCCAACCTTTTCTGTTTTATTATTTATTTTATTTTATTTACTTTTTTATTGGATGCTTGGGTTTTCTTTGTTGTTGTTTTGAGGGATTCTTATTCTTGCTTGTTTTGCAGTTCTTTTTGTTTGTTTGTTTGTTTTTAATGTGCTGTGGCATGTGTCTGTAATCCCAGGGACTCTGAGGCTGAGGCAGGAGGATCCCATGTTCGAGGCCAGCCTCAGCAATTTAGGGAGGCCCTGAACAACTCAGGGAGACCTTGTCTCAAAATTAAAAACATAAAAAGGGCTGGGGATGTAGCTCTGTGGTTTAAGTGCCCCTGAGTTCAACCCCTGGTACCAAAAATGAAACAAAAAATGTATTGGGCCAGGCACCGAGGCACACGCCTAGAGCCCCAGTAACTCAGGAGGCTGAGGCAGGAGAATCACAAGTTCAAGGCCAGCCTGGGCAATTTAGCAAGATTTTGTCTCAAAATAAGAATGAAAAAAGGGCTGGGGATGAGGCTCGGTGGCACAGCGATTGCCTGGCAGGGGTGAGTCCCTGGTTGCAGCCCCAGCACCTTCAGAAAAACAAGTATTGGGCCACATTTGGCCAATCAATCACTGCATAATAACCCTTATGTGTTTTTGTTAAAGTCAACTTAAGACACACTGTTGACTCATTCGCAGGGAACCCCTGGCCTCCGGTAGCCCTGCAGCTCAGGCGGGAACAGAGTTGCCGAGCACATTCTCTGGCTAAGGCCCGCCCCAGCCCCCTCTCCCTTAGGCAAATAGATGGCACTTTAGTTCCACTCTTGGGGCCCTTTAAATCAGCAAATCAACAAAAAGCATGAAAATGGGAGGAATGTGGCACTGAACAGACTGTGACAAAGACACTGGGTTACAGTCCAGGAGCCAAGCCCTGGCAGGCACAGCTGCTTGTCCCGCCCCAGCCGACCAGGAGCACCAGACGGCTCAGAGCCATCGCCACTCTGCGCATGTCCGTCAACGGCCACAAGAGTATTGATTGAGGGTTTCACATCGATGTTAGAGACAGGCAAATCCGCAATCCGCAAATAACGACCTCTTGTATAGACACGCTCATGGACCTGTTTTTAGTTGTCAATGGACTTTATTTATTTATACTCAGTGCTGAGAATCGAACCCAGTGCCTCGCACATGAGAGGCAAGCGCTCTACCACTGAGCCACCGCCCCAGCCCCCACATGTACGTTTATTACCTCCCTACTTGACAGCTCAGGAAACAGGCACAGAGAGGCAGAGACATTTGTCCAGGTCGCACAGCTACAGAGTACTGAGCTGGGGTTTGAAGTCAGGCAGCCAGGCTCAGAGCAGCCCTGGCTCACAGAACCCACCGAATCCTGAGTCATCTGCCGGCTCCAGGTCAGAGTTCTTGGAGAAGAGGATCCCAGGGTTAAGAACAAATGAGAGGCGGGGGCTGTGGCTCAGTGCAGAGCACTTGCCTGGTATGTGTGAGGTACTGGGTTCCATCCTTGGCACCACATAAAAATAAACACACAAAGACATGCTGTCCAACTACACAAACAAACAAACAGATGAGAGGGGCCAGGGGCACACTGTCATCCCAGTGGCGTGGCTGAGAGCCTGAGGCAGGAGGATCTTGAGCTCAGAGCCAGCCTCAGCAACTTAGGCCCTAAGCAACTCAGCGAGACCCTGTCTCTAAATTAAATATAAAAAGGGCTGGGGACCTGGCTCAGTGGGTAAGTGCCCTGGGCTCACCCCCGCCCCCCGCATTAAAAAAAAAAAATAGTTTGGGGTTGGGGCTCAGTGAAGGAGCTGCCCAGCACCCGGTGTGTGTCGCCTGCTCCCAACATTTTGCAGATGAGAAAACCAAGGCCTGAGAGAGGGGAGGGACACCAAGCTGTGTGTCCCAGCATGGTGGCCTTCCGGGTCTGAAGTCACCCTAGCTGCCCCCTCCTATGGGCCTTGTCTTAGTCTCTGCCATCCACCTTTGCCCCTGGTCGGATCCTGTCCATTGTACAGATGGGAAAACTGAGGCCAGGGAGGTAGCATTGCCCAGCCTAGGAAGGGCCACAGTAGGGTCCAGTCAGCAGTCCTGTGACTCTGCGGCTGGCCTGAGACTGCAGTAATGACCAGATGGGACCCCAGAGGGTCCTGAGAGCCGGCCAGTCCAGCTCTGGGTCTTGCTGTGTGAGCCTCGGGGCACTGTGTAAGGTGAGAAGCGGTGCTGATGGCCCCCGAGGCCATCTCGTAGTCCTCAGATTGGAAGATCCTAGGATTTGGTCGCCCCAACTCTAAAATCTGTCATGGCCGGGCCTGGAGGCGGCAGGGGGTCCCAGGGGCCTAGGCCTGTGGATTCACTCAGCCTCTGGGCTGTGACCCTGCTCCTAGAGCCAAGGGACACAGCCCTGCCCTGGGGATCCAAGGGACACACCTGCTCTGGAAATCCCAGGATAAAGAAGGGAGATATCCCCAGGCTGTGGGAGCGGGTCCTGGTCAGTGTGGGGTGGGCCCTGGGAACCCCCTCAGGGTCCCCCTCTCCCCTTCCCCAGCTACCTCTACCCCGATGGGAAGAAGCACAACCCAGACCTGACAGAGCTCTGCCGCGCAGAACCCCACCAGCGCATCCATGTGTCGGAGGTGAGGGCCCCGGTCCCCTCACTGCCCCTGCCATCCCCACCCGGCCTTGGCTCGGACACCTTGGCCTTGGGTCGGAGTGCTGGCCTCATGGCTCTGTGACCTTGGGTAAATTACTTGGCCTCTCTGAGGCTCAGTCCATCCTGTGGAAACTACAGCTCCTCCTGCCTCCTTCCCGGGGGTTCTCATGGGGATTAAACAAGGAACTAAGATCTGGTTAGGTCACCAGAACAGCTAAGGCACTTGAGTGCCTACCAGTGACGGCCCTGCGCCAGTGCTTCGTCTTTGGAGCCATTCCAGGGGGAAGAGAAACCAAGAATTAAAAAAGAAAAACAAATCTAGTGTGAGTATATCCCATGCAATATCTGGGATAAACTTACGCTCGAATTCTGTTCACTGCTCACCTGGACTTCACATTTCCCGGGGCGTCCTACGTGCTTCTGACAACCCCGGGGTAGATAACCCCAGAGAGGAGGCATCGGAAGCCCTGCACACCCGCGACCTGGAACTTGGGGGAGGCTTCAGGGTGGACACAGGGGTGGGGACTTCCTTCCTGTCCTCCCAGGGTCTCGCCCACCTGTTCTGTCCTCCCTGTCGCCTCACCTGTCAGGAGCAGCTGCAGCTGTACTGGGCCATGAACTCCACCTTCGAGCTCTGCAAGATCTGCGCCGAGAGGGACAAGGACGTGAGGATCGAGCCGTGCGGCCACCTGCTCTGCAGCCACTGCCTGGCTGCGTGGCAGGTGGGGCTGACCCTCTCCTGCCGGCTCGCCCGGTCTCCCCTCTACAGGAAAAGCCCCGACAGCATTTCCCATGCGCCTCGTTTTCAGATGGGGAAACTGAGGCCGGGGACAGAGCCCTGCCCGGGCTCCCTCGGGGGCCAGTGTCTGCAGCTGGTCTGTGTCACCTCGGCCTGCACGCGACCCGCGACCCGGCTCTCCTTCTCGGACCAGTTATCAGTGAAAAGGGCTGGGCAGTCCAGAGCCAGTAGCTCTGCCTCTCTGGGCCTTAGCCTGGGAGCACAGGGCTGTTGACAGGGACCCCCACAGGCCAGAGTAGCGGCCCGACCCACAATGCCCCTGGCAAAGGCCCGGCCTGAGGCTGCTGCCCAGGTCCCGCTGGCCCCTGGGCCAGCATGGGCGCTCCTTGGCTCCCAGGCTCTTCCCTGCCTCCCACCCCTCCCGGCTCCCGCCCCCTCCCTCCCTGTCCCTGGCTCTCCTCCTATCGCCGGGTTGGAGGTAGAGGTCCTCCCAGTCCCCAAGGACGAGGGACGTGGTGCAGAACAGGGAGACGCTGACCTGTCCTCCGCCCCGCCAGCACGCAGAGAGTCAGACCTGCCCCTTCTGCCGACGGGAGATCAAGGGCCGAGAGGCTGTGAGCATCTATCAGTTCCAAGGGAGGGCCACCATTGAGAACCCAGAGGACAGCAGTGACCAGGAGGACGGGGAGTTGGAGCAGGTAAGCAGGATGGGCAGGGCCAGAAACAGGGCCCCGGGGCCTGATGGATGTTAGGCTGGGCCTGGACCCTGGGGCTAAGAGAGGAGGCTGGGCCTGGACCCTGGGTCTGAGGGAGGGGGCTGGGCCTGGACCTTGGGTGCTAGAGGCCTGGGTGTTTGCTTCCCCCAGGGCCTGGGGCTGTGGCTTTCTCATGCTGTCCCCTAAGGGTTGGGACTCTGTCTTGCTTTCTGTTATATCTGGAGTCTAGAGCTGTGCCCAGTCCTGCCTCCAGGCAGAAGCGTCTGTGGGCGTGAAGAAAATGGCCGCTCACAACCCCTCTCCCGCCGTCTCCTCTAGGTGGCCCCCTCTGCTCCCCCACTGCCCCCTCGGCTAGATCTGTCCTCAGGGAGACCCAGAAGTGAAGGCCAGTTGAAGGTGGTGAGTGTTGCTGTTCTGGGCTGGGGTGGGGGCGTGGGCAGGGTGGTCTCTCGCTCAGCCCCAGGGTCCTGTGGTGGTGGTGCTGAGGGCTCTGAGGCTCAGGCTTGGTGCTCCTCCTCAGAACCCGTGGTGAGTCCCTGCTGTGGTCTGGCATCTGCCACCTCCGTGGCCTCTCCTCTGCCTTCCTCTTGACTCATCCCTCTCACTGGTTTCTTGCTCTCCTTCCGTGTCCAGGACATGTCCTACCTCAGGGCCTTTGCACCAGCTGTCCCCTTGGCCTAGCTTGCCTTTCCCCAGGCTCAGTTTCCCACTTCTTCTCCGGGAGGCCTTCCCTGACCCTCCAACCCCACCCTGTGATGCTCTCTTGGTGATTTTCCCCACCTGGCAGGGTGGGAGGTGTCGTTTCCTAAGCCAAACCCCTTTTTAGGTCTAGATTTTGTCTTATTCTCTCTTGTCCTTTTTTCTTTTTTAATTTTTTAGTTGTAGATGGACACACAATGTCTTTATTTATTTTTATGTGGTGCTGAGGATCGAACCCAGTGCCTCACACATGCCAGGCAGATGCTTTACCACTGAGCTACAGCCCCAGCCCCTTATTCTCTCCTCTATCTCCAGAGTCTAGAACAGTGCCTGACACTGATACTTGACAGGTGCTCAATAAATAGGGGTTGAATAAACAGAGCCCAGTCTTCCCAACAGCCCTATAAAGCTGAAAATGTTTCTCTCCTCATTTTCTACAAGAAAAACACTCAGAGAGGTGGCTGAGATGGCCTGAAGCCACACAGCCTGAAAAAGGATAAGCCAGCATTGGGGTCTTTAAGCACCCCCCAAAACCATCTGCTTTTTTTTTTCCATGCCGGGGATGGAACCCAGGGCCTTGAGCTTCCAGGGAAATGCTCTGCCCACCGAGCCCCAGCCCAGCCCCCATGGGCTGATTTTTTAAGGGCGTCGGGCCTTGCTGTCTCCCCCACTCCCACCCCTGGAGTTTCAGAGGCCCTGGCCTGGCGGGGAGGGGCGGTGCGAGGGAGCAGGCCCCGCCTGGATCAATACTGCGCCGACCTCCAACCAACGGCAGGAAGTCCGGGAACATTAGCGACCACAGCAAACAAGGAGCCGGCAGGAAGGGGGCGGCGGGCCTGGGGGTGCGGCGGGGAGGCTAAAAACAGACCTGGACCTGCAGCCAACAGCAAATGGAAACATTAGGAGGCACTCAGCGGCTCCCTGGGGACAGCCAGGGGACACTGCCAGCCAGGAACAGGGCTGAGGGGCACCTCCGGTCGGATGGGCATGCGTTCACCTGCCAGTGCCCTCCCTCCTGGCAAACCCCTTCCTCTTCCTCCTCCCCAGGCCTTCCTGGTTCAAATTCCAGGCAACAGCTGCTGCCTGCCCCCCCCCCCTCTCTCTCTGGTACTGGAGACTGAACCCCGGGGCACTTAACCACTGAGTCACATCCCCAGTACCCCCTTACCCCCCTTGTTTTTAATTTTGAGACTGGGCCTCCTTGCTAAGTTGCTGAGGCTGACCTCAAACTTACAATCCTCCCGCCTCAGCCTCCCAAGTGGCTGGAATTATGGGCGTGCACCACCGTGCCCACCCAGCTATGCCTGCTCTTTCATTTTTCAAAGCACAGCAAAAGACAAAGCCCTGGGCTCGCTACTTCTCAGCAAGGTGACTGTCATCATGACAACCGTTAATGTGTGACTTTTGCTATGGGCTTGGCACAGGGCCTCCCACCTGCCAGGCAAGCCCTCTACCCCTGAGCTACACCCCAGCCCTGGCACTGTTTTTGAACCTATTCAGTTGTCACCACAGGTCAGGAGCAGGCACACACCTGTGATCCCAGTGACCCTGGAGGCCAAGGTGGGAGGATGGCAAGTTCAAGGTCAGCCTCAGGAACTCAGCCAGACCCTGGCTCTAAATAAAAAATAGAAAGAGCTGGGGATGTGGCTCAGTGGGAAAGTGCCCCTGACTTCAATCTCTAGTACAACAAATTAATAAATAGATAAAGTCACGACAGCCCTGTTATGATTACAGAAGGGGACAGTGAGGCTCAGGAGCTGAATGTCACACAGCCCACGGGTGATGGAGTCAGAATGAGGACCCAGGTCTCTGGCTCTACCTGCCAGGACTCATGTTCCACCCCTCTGTGGGCCTGGACCCTCTGGTCTGTACAGTGGGCGGGATGGTCGTCTCTGCCACGGAGTCCACCATGGGCTCTGGATGCGGTGGGCTGTGTCTGTGGCCTGTCACTGCGGTCATGATCTGCACATGGGGCTCTGTCATCAGGCACCTCCCTGCACACCTCTGTTCTCCGTCTTAGAAACCCACCTCTAGGGGATGACCCCGTCACTGAGCAAGACCCTGGCACACCACGGGTCACTGAACCCTCAGGCTTGTGAAGCCGGAGAGATCTGGCGACCAGAACCCAAATCAGATCCCCCGTCACTTCTCAGCACCCTCTGCCAGCTCCCCAGGCCTCCGGGACTCCAGGGAAGCCCTCTGCTCCCTCCATAGGGCCTGCAGATCCAGCCCCTGCTCCCGTGAGCCCCTCGCTGACCTTCCAAGGAGCCCGCAGACCCCCACTTCCCTGCCGCCTTTTTGTGCTCAGGCTTCGGCCCAGTCAGTCCCGGCTCCTGGAGGCCTCCCTGGTCGCCCTCCTGTCTTGGTCACCCCGCCCTCCCCTGCCCCCCCCACGCACTCAGAAAGACCTGGAACACAGGATACTTCCTGGTTTGTGAGCTGATTGCTCACGTCCAGCCTCTGGCTCAGCAGACCTTGGTTCCTCCGGCACGGGAAGTTTTTATTTATTTTTTTCTGTCTTATCCACATTTCTGAACTCAGCTGCTCAGGGAATGTTTGTGGGATACATGGACAAGGGGATGGAGGCATGAACAGACGGACGGACAGACAAGACAGAACGTTTTCCCACTCAAGGCAGAAGCATGAGGGGAAAAGACGGCATGGATTAGGGATAAGACTCTGTCACAGGGCCCCTCGCCCACCACGGTGTCACCCTGTGAATTGGCACTGCCAGTCCCTAGGCCGCCCCTCACCTGGGACATTTCTGAATCTCTTCCCCTGCAGGCCCCTCTGCCTCTGCCCAGGCTCAGGCCTCCCCTTCCCTTGCCGAGAATCAGGAATGTGGCCTCAGCCCCTTGGGATGTCACCTCCTGCCCCCAGACCACCGAGGGGGCCACAGAGTAAGTGGAAAGACAGCTGGCCCGAGACTCGGGGGTGAAGAAGGGGGGGGGGAGACACACCCCGGACTCAGGAAGCTCACGGCCCCCAACTCCCTCCCCTGCAGAAATTTCTAAAGGGAAGCTCCTGCCCCCAGCCGCCCCTGTGGGACCCGCGGTCACACCCCACGCTGGAGGCCAGGTGAGCCCCAGACTCTCCAGGCTCCCTCCCCAGCTAGCCCCATGCCCTCCGCCGGCTCTGCCCAGGGGAGTGATCTCACGCCCGCGTCTCTCTACATCACAGGGTGCCCAGATGAGCTGCAGAAGGAGCCGCAGGGGTGGATGGGGCTTGTGAGGCAGAAATAAACTGTCAAGCCTGGTGGGTCCTCCCGTGTGTAAGGAGCAGGGCAGCGGCCACCAGGGGGCAGCTTGGCACTGGGAAAGGGCGTTCCCGGGGCCTGATGCCCTCCTGGTCCACTCCAGAGGCTGGGCCCTGGCCCCATCTACCCTCAGAGCTTCACAGGGAATGGGGTCCCCAGCCTCTTCCGCCAGTTCCAGGAGTCCTGCCTCCCAAGCTGTCGGCAAACCAGACCCCTGCCTCCTCTGTCACCGCAAAATCACCCCGGACTCATCCCAGAACTGCGGCCCTGGTCAAAAAGAGCCCGTGATTCCTTGGGAGCTAGTTGGGCTCCCAGGCTCGCCACGATCTGCTCTTATCGCTCGTTCTCCATTCCCCGTGGGTCCTTCTGCCAGGCGATGTGGCACCGGGAAAGCATCTCCCATCTCCTCACTAATCCCAAGGGACCCAGCTCCCTCCCGTCAGGCTAACCCAGCCCCCACCCTGAGGGCAGGCCCTGTGCCAGGCCCTGGGCTGAGCAGCGGCCACTGCCCCCCCTGCAGCTCAGAGTCCAGTGGGGGAGAGAGACCTGGAGCCCAGGGTGGGCACGGCTGGGGTGGGGGACCCCAGGGCTGCAGGAGCGCACAGGGACGCCTGACCCAGCCTGGAAAAGCCAGGAAGGCTTCCAGGAGGAGACTCTGAGCCCAGACGACCATGGCAAGGGGCTTGAAATGTATCACAGACTGAGTTCCAAGCAACAGAAGCCGCCTCTTGGGACAGAAAGGGAACCTATTGAGAGGATTCTGGGTCACTCACAGAAACCGGGAGTAAACAGGAGAGCCAGGATTGGAAAAGGAGCAAGAAGACTGGCAGCCAGCCAGCACCGGCCACCAGCCACAGTCACCCCACAGAACCAGTCTGATGAGGACACGCTGGTGCCCGATGAGCACCGGACACTGCAGTCACCCCACTGCCCGAGCCGCCCTAGAAGCAGGACGGGCTGCCCCATTCATTAGCTGCGCTCATCACAAATCCTCTCCAACTTAATGGCGCAGGATGGCAACGGTTGCCTTAGTGCTGAGGGTGCTGGGCGGATCCAGGGTGGGGCTCGGCTGAGTGGTTCCACCCTGGGAGTGGATGCCATCAAATGGAGCCGTCCATGGTTCCAGGCTGCCCTGCGCAGAGTGGTTGGAGGCTGGCCAGGGTCTCTGAAGTCTCCACACTTCCAAGAGTGGGCTCTGGACCTGCTGGCGTGGGCCCCCCCAGCACAGCTGCTCCAGGGAGTGCTTGGTGGGTTTCCTGTGAGGAAGGCCGGCCTCCACCTCCATCCCTCTGCACCCAGGATTCAACCAACTGTGCATCCAACACAGACGTGACTTTTGGTACTGGGGATTGAACCCAGAGGCATTTTACCACTGAGCCACATTCCCAGTCTTTTTTCATTTTGAGACAGGGTCTCATTAAGTTGCTCAGAGCATCGCTAAACTGCTGAGCCTGGCTTTGAACTTGCAATCCTCCTGCCTCCGCCTCCCAAGCCTCTGGGATGACAGATGTGCACCACCACACCTGGCAAGTCTGACCTCTTGATGGGAGGTCCAGCTCTGTAGGTGACTGTCGCCAGCTGGCCAGGCTGGCGAGATGAGCTGTATTCAAAGGAGCTGACTATATCAGTAATTAAGAAAACGGCGAAGAAACCATGCAGCACAGGAACATGAGTTTCTAAGGTCAAGGGCGGGACTGTTCAGTGACCCCAAGGGTCAGCTCCTCGCTGGGCAGTGCTAGAAAGAGAGCATGTACCGGATTCTTTTTATTTTAGAGGGGGGACACACACAGCCTTCCAGATCTGCAAGGATTCAACCAAACTTGGATCTAAAATATTCAGGGAAAAAATTGCATCTATAGGGAGGTTGGATGGAATGTTCTTCACCAAATAAGGCAGAGAATGGGGTTTGGAAGGTGGAGTCTTGCTTTGTGATGTCTTGTGGTCAGCAGATTGATTGACATCTTGGCAAGTCACACCCATTTCAGGTGCTGTGGGGGATCACAGGCAGAGGGAGAGGAAAGGCACATTTGCGTCACGAGCCCAATCAGTGTGCAAGGCCACATCAGTCCCCTCATACTGCTCAAATGCGCAGAGCTCACACACGCAGCCCATGGATGGCTCGAGACAGGTGACCATGCAAAAATGACAAATTGGGTGCAGCCATCTTTAGGCAGTAGCTCTTCTTTAAACTCTCGCTGTATAAGTAACTCTTTTTGCTCAACCAAAAAAAAAAAATGCATTCATATGACACCAAATATCAACAGTTCCATTTTCCAGATCCAAGTCTGGAACCATGGGGGAAGAACCATTCCCCTCCACACACCATGACGAGCATCTTCTGCAAGCTGTGGACTCCTCTGAAAGCTAATTAGGCTACACCATATATAAAACAAATGAGAAAAAGATAAGACTTGTCTATGAGAAGAGTCAGCCTTCCAGATCTGCAAGGATCCAACCAAACTTGGATCTAAAATATTCAGGAAAAAAATACATCTATATGGAACACGTGCAGACTTTTTGTCATTATTTTCTAAACTATAGAGTATATTGATTATATCACACTTACATTGTATTAGGCATTACAAGGCATTGAGAGATGATTTAGAGTATACGGGGGTGTGTGCATAGGTTATATGCAAATACAGTGCCATTATATGTAAGGGACTTGAGCATCCTGGGGAGGGGTCTCCCGGAAACAATCTCCCATGGATAGCCAAGGACTGCTGTATACAGTCACGTGGCACATCACCTAAGTATCTCTCAGTCGACAATGGACCACAACTGCAACAGTGGTCCCATAAGATCACATGGCCCAGTGACGTCATAGCCGTCTTGGGCTGTGCGAGGCCACTGTGATGTTCAGCCGGTGGCAAAATTGCCTGACAACGCCTTTCTCGGAACATACCCCGGTTGTTAAGTGACGCACGCCTGTGTCTATACACATGAGCTCGCGAGGACGGAATTGGAAAATGATTTAATTCAGTGCACAATGTTTATTCATCCCATGCCAAGCACTGTCCTAGGCACTGCGGCGAAGCAGAGCAGTCCCTTTGCTCTTGGAGTTTAGAGTCTGTGCCAAGCAATAAAGAAATAAACATACTGGATCTGGCAGCAATAAACGTTATGGAGGAAAAAGCGTGGTAAGAGAAGGGAGATCAGGAGGGGCCGCGAGATGGGATGGCCACGCAGAACCTTAACGATGATGACTGGGGGGGGGGTCACAGGAGATTGGAAGCCAGGCGGAAGCTGCTCAGGCCAGGACTGGCCCAGCAGAGGGGAGAGCAGATGCTGGGGCTGAAGCTGGTGTGTCGGAGGAACGGCATGGCAGCAGGGGCCCATGTGGGTGGTAGGTGGGATCAGGGAGGTGCCAGGGTCTTGTAAGCCACAGATAGAACGTTAGTTTTTACTGTGAGACAGAAGCCAAGGTTGACACAAGCAGATTTTTAACAAGATCCCTGTGGCTGTCTAGTGAGACTAAATTGTAGATGACAGGCAGTTGACGTTAACAATAGCAGTTCCTGCAAGTCTGTGCGCAGCCAAAGCTGGGGTGTCTGACTTCTCTCTTTCTTACACATCTGGCCTCACCCGGCACCTTAACAGGCTGGGTTCTTTTTTTTTCTTTTAAAGAGAGAGAGAGAGAGAGAGAGAGAGAGAGAGAGAATTTTTTAATATTTATTTTTTAGTTTTCGGCGGACACAACATCCTTGTTTGTATGTGGTGCTGAGGATCAAACCCGGGCCGCACGCATGCCAGGCGAGCGCTACCTCTTGAGCCACATCCCCAGCCCAGGCTGGGTTCTTGAAGGTGGAGAGCAGGTGGCTGACGAGGGCACCTACCCAAGTCCTGCCCAGGTAAGCAGGCCCACAAGCCAGGGACAGAAGAGCCATGGAGTTGCTGTCTGGGGTCCCAGGGTGTAAGCTTGTCCTAGGGAGCCCTTGGGGCTGTCTTGGAAGGTGACTGTGTCCATGTAGTGTGTCCTGCGATGACCAGTCTGGGTGGAATTTGCATGTAAGCCTGTGGACCTCTGAGTTTGCACCTTGCAAACCTTCCCTGAGTACCTGCTTTGGGTCTGGGTGGGGGACACAACGGTAACCCAGAGAGCCCCGACCCTCACAGGGTTCATGGTCCAGTGGGGGAGACAGACCCAATGCAGACAGGTGTATGTGTTCCTAAGTCCCTTCATGGTTGATGGTCACTCGGCTACCTTGTCGTGGGGGGTAGAAACGCGGAATCAACACACAGACTCTGGGAGCTGGTGAGAGAACTGGCTGGAGACCCCCCTCAAGTCGTCGTCCAGTAGTTCAGTTTCTTTTTGGAATGCACACAACTGTTACAGGGTTCGAGTGGGGCGTGCCCGTCAATCATACATAAGCAAGACAATATCCATAGGCCAGTCATCTTCTGCCTAAAGTAACTGCATGGTGAGGAAACTAAATATTGCTGTCGTGGTGGAAAGCAATCTGGAAGGGTCTTTGGCCCTTACTGAGTCAGGGGTTTCATGCCCTGAAGCCCCTTTGCCCAGTAGTTTGGCAACGCTGACCACAAGTGCTGAGTATGTGGTTCCACCCCACCCTGCAGGCCCTCCTGTCAGGCCTGAGCAAACGTGGACATTTCAAGCACTTCTGAGCTGCTCCTAGATGCTAGCTTGCTAGCTGCGACTGAAAGTTATTCCAACAGACAGGGACTACCCAGAGTGCACAGGGCTGAGGTGGGGGTCCCAGGGGACTGAGGAGGATGGGGGAGCCTGAAGGAGGACTTCCTGGAGGAGCGGGTAGTGATGCTAATACCCAAAGGTCACCTTTCCCAGTGTAACAATGGCTGTCCTGTATGACTAATGGATTAAAAAAAAGTAGCTTTGACCAGTCTGGCCAATAATTCCCAGGCTGACCTGTTACTGAGCCCTCCCTCTGGTCAAATAGGCAAAGCCAGGGACCCAGGGGGGAGGTTTACAGTCTGTGTCACCTGATTGTGACATGGAGGTCCAGGGGCAGAAAGCTCCATTCTTACCAGTGAATGATCTGAGAGACCTGAGGAACCTCTTCTAACATGACCAGTGACCCCACATTCTGCCTAAGGTCCTAGACTAGCTTCTCCCAGACACCCAGTGCCACCCGCCTTCCCCTAGCCCCAACCAGCACCCTAGGGGTTTTGTTCCAGTCCGATTTGGGCGGTGAGAAGTCCTGAGGGTCTGATCTGTGACCTCCCTCAGTCAGACTTGAACGCTCCCTTGCAACCAAGGCTGGGCTCTTCGGCCCTCCCCAGGTGCCCTAGCCTCCTCCCCTCCTCCACTCACCTGCCCCGCCAGCAGGATTCTCCTCCCCTCCCCCCAAGGTGGGGAGGGAATGAAGGGGAGAGAAGAAGCAGGAAGGGGGGTGACATTCCTGGGATTCCCTGGATGGGGAGGAGAGAGGGCGGGCCTTCCAGGGCAGAGAGAGGGAGCGAGCCCCGGGCCCCTCCGTCGCATCCTTACAGAGGCCTAGGCGGAACTGAGATTGAAGACCATTCGAGATAAGAGATTGAACTGGTCAGTTCCAAGCCACTGACCGGTCACGTGAGTGGCGCCGCCACAGGGAAGGACATCACAGGGCAGACTGGGAGCAGTTGCTCTGGGACACTGGTAATGCTGGGGGCCACTAGCTAAACTGGGAGAGGCCACTGCTGGCCACTCGGTGTAAAATCCACGACGCAAGCCCAGGCTACTTGCCATAGTGGAAATGAGTCTCAAGGCCCCGGGTAGAATGAAGGGGAGCGGGTCCGCGATTGTCCGCTGAGATGCCAGTTCGGGACATCCACTGGCCAGACTGGTTGGTCAGGGTCCCCCGCCGCAGGCGCTGCTCCGCAGAAGCGGGACAGCCGGGGGGGGGGGGGGGGGGGGGGGGGGGGCTTGGGGCGAGGACGACGGAGCTCCGGCCGGTCCGCGCGGGGCGGTGGGAGGTCCACCCGGGCAGTGGGAGGTCCTGGCGCTGCGCCCAGGTTGGCGAGGGGGTGTGGCCTGGGCGGAACCGGGGCGGGGCCTCTGTGCCAGCCCCGCAGCGGCGGAGCCCCAGCCCGGCTCAGTCGCCGCCGCCGCTGCGAACATGGAGCCCCCGGACGCCCGCGCCACCGCGCGCCCGGCCCCGCGCCTGCTGTGGCTCGCGCTGCTGCTGGCGGCGCACCCAGGTACGGCTCCCGCGGAGAGCAGGGCGGCACTGGGGGCGGCCCCCGGGGACGCGGGAAGGCGAGGGGAAGGGCCCCTCGCTCGCCCCAGGAAGCAAAATCTGGGGATCCCCCGGAGGAGGGACAAGGTGGCGTGGGGGAGTGCCCCTCCTAGCGAAAGACTGGGACAGTCAGGCAGGAAAGTTGGGGAAGAGACCACCTGAGAAGTGAGACCCTTCCCAAGTCGGGGACCCTGGAATCTGGGCCGTGTCCCCTAGAATCTGAGCCCTTCGGCTCCTGTTCCCTCAGACCCAAGAGTCCAAGCGCCTGGTGGCCAAGGTGGCTTTCCCCATGACACAGAAGACCAAAACCCCAGAGCTGTCCCCTCAAAGATTCTCAAGTTTCGAGAGATATAGGCACCCCTATGAAAAGGTAGGGACCCTATGCCTAAACCAGTGATTCATACAATTTGAGGATGTCCCCAGCCTAAATTCAGAGTCCCAGTTCAATAAAGAATGGGCCTCCCTTGGAAAGGGCCAGAGTACCAGCCCTGGGCAAAGTGTTTCCGAGTGACAGATCCCCTTCCTGGGGCCCCAGATAAATCCATGCACCTGCAAGGTGGAGGGAGGGGAGAGGACCCTGAGGCTGGGGACAAGGGAACAGGCATATGAAAGAGATCGAGAAGAGAGAGAGGGCATCTCTGCCTACCCTGGCTGTCTGCTGTTCAGACCCATCCCCGGGCACCAGCCTGGCCCCTGTTCACTCCCCTGGGGGAAA